TTTTTTTTTTTTTTTAGAAATTCCGTATTACCAATTTTGTTAGAGTTTTTGGCACTTGTGACAATCGCACAAAATTGAAGTGCAACGAAATTTTCACCTCAAGAAGTAGATCATCAGGACAAAAAGTACGCTCCGAAGAATCGGTGTTTCGGAAAAACCGAACAAAACGCATTTGTTGTTAACGATTTTCCGGAGATCTAATCTCGACATCTTACACCTTTCCTATTCTCGTTGCCGCAGCCGTGGTCCGCTCGTTAAATTTGATTAAAACACTAGAAATCTACATTCCAGGCTTTCAATCATTTGCACGAACCCTTTTCTCTTCACATCTCGCTCTTCTGTCGCTTCTCCCCAACATTTTTCCGGGAGAGAATCCCAAGTCGCGCACGAAACTACAAAGTGCTATGATTCATTTATTTAAAACAAGATAACTAAGAATTAAGGCCCAAGGTGTTTAAAACTAACCGAGAAATTTAACAGGTGATGAACGAGCCAATGCGCTCGATGTTGTGTGAAATATAAATATACATGAATATATATTTATATTTTTTTAAAGTGTAAATTTTTTTGTACGCTTGATTGTTTGAATTGAAATTTTAATTCATAAATTCATGTAGGATGCTAAACTTGCATTACATATTGTGAGAATATCTATTTTCCCTTCCCTAACTAATAATTTAGACATTATGTTACGAAAAAAACATCTCACCAGGAATCGAACCTTTCGCTTTCCGTGCAATTGCCTTCCCAATTCAACCACGGAGTCATTTGGTGTTTCTCTCGCAATATACGAATATAATACTCTGTGAATAACGCCATTTTCCGCCGGCAGTATAGCATCCTGTATAAATTTATGAATTGAAATTTCAGTTTGAATAATCAAGTGTAAAAAATTTACGCTTTTAAAATATATATATATTTATTTATTCCGCACAACATTCAGCGCATTGGCTCGCATCACCTGTTAAGTTTCTCCGTTAGTTTTTTAAACTACATGGACCTCTCAACTCCTAGTTAATTTCTTTTATTTTTAAACTCATTGTTCACAGAAACTTTCCTATTATACAATTAAACATCTGAAAATTGAAAAATCCAAGGTAGATAAATCTTAATTTAAAAATGAAAATATTAATGAAAACAATTTTTTTTCAAAGATTGCGAACGAGATGCGTTTCTTTGTGCTAGAAGAAACGAAAGAAGAGCGTCACAATGAGACCATGTAGTGAGTAAAACTCAACTGTCCTCTTTTATCTTAGGCATCCTAAATTTTCCAGGCCCGAGTGGCGGTAATGGCAGTGGAACTGGTCTTGGCGGAGCACGGGCTAGAGGCATTGGAGGTCCGCCGGGGGTTGGCATGGGCCTCGGAGGCGGTCCGGGAATGCTTGGTCGCGCGGGAGGCTTTGGTCCCCGCGGCGGAGGAGGACCACACGGCACGAATTTTCTCGGAAGTAGCGGTAGCGGACCAGGAGCCATGCGAATGGAAAAAATTCATCCCCATCGATACAATCCAATAGGCATGGGCGGCAGCGGTAGTGGCAACTTCGTTCCATCGCACTTCTGGTGACTGTCCGTTTACAAAGACGAGAGTCGCGGTGTGAGTACTAGTAATGAACAACCACTGCTCTGACGTCAATCGCTACCGAAGCCCACTTGTCATTCTACTGACGTAAGAAATCGTCATTCTTAACGCGCCGAGAGTAAAATGGTAGGTCGGACATAAAAGCCAGGTAGAGAGTCAGTCGAATCGAGCAAGTGCGTCCAGTGCGCGCACTTGCGATTTTCTGTTGCTATTCACGCGCGTCATGCGCGCTGCTTACATTAGTCGCGAGAAGTACAACACATACATTCTTTCCAACTTTATGTTTCTGTTTATTCTTCGAATCGCGGCGACAGAAAATCGCAAGTACGCGATGCAAACATAAACAGTATCCAGTGATATTAATAATTCAATAAATTATAAACAGTTTTAAACTTAAAACTGCTTGTGATATTCAAAATTAATTGCCAAAACATGTCTCTTTTTATCTATTTATTTAATTGAACCTCGCGTGTGAATACTCATTCTGATATGTCATTCATTGAAATACCGCTGACAAGAATATTTTCCGTCAAACGGTATGAATTAACTTTCTCGCTACAGCCGTCTTCGCTACGCTATGTCGCGGTAAGATTTTATTTATTGCATATCTGTTACCCTAGAAATGTAAATGTAAATGCGTCGAGCGAACCATAGAGCCGTTTGTAGCGAAAGGGTTAAACGAGTTTTCACTGTCGCTGAAATAACAGAAACAGACATCGATTGAGAGTGTAAACCAAAGCCGACGCATTTTTTTGCAATTCAGGTCATTGACTTCGGCGTTTACGCTTATTGACTTTCCGCTTCTTTCTCACTTCCTCTTTTTTGTTCGAGATTCGTTAATTAAGGTTTTCGATGCGTCGTCACGTGCGTTCTTTAACTTGATTGGAAGTATTTTATTATTATTAACCATAAATAACTCTAATCATTTATGTGAAAAATTCCTCGACAATATTTAAAAAAACTCCAGTAATAAATATTTTATTATTATATATATGTTCATACTTAAAAAAAAAAAAAAAACAGACAAAGAACAGTAAAGTTATTAATCTTTTCAATGAGGCATTTACATATGTACATAAAGCAAAGGTATTAGGAAAGAAATTTTTCTCTTAAAAAAAATTTGTGTACAGATATATATTGTTTTTTGTACATATAATTGTACATGTATAAATTTCTCATTTTGGTATATCATAAATTTATTATACTAGATAAAATTTAGAACTATCAGTAATAAAAAGTAGAAAACACTGCGTTTTATATAATATTTATTAAATGATATATCAAAATTCACATAATTTTAGATATTCATAATTTATATTTATATGTTAATAAGTTATATATGTATTTCTATCATAATATTCTTTTATATATATATATAAAATATAAATTATATATATAAAATATATATATATAATTTTTTTTTTTTAAGAGAAAAAGCTAAGAGGTTAGATATTAAATCGGAAACATCAGAAAAATTGTTTGTCTTATTGTTAACATCACCGAGTAACGTCCAAGAAAAATGACAAAGAACTATAATTACAATGAACTTACAAGAGAATTTTCTGTTATATCTATAAGCGATTAGCTCTTCTTGAACTTGAAAATGTTGTGACTAAAGAATCCGTTGTGTATCTTGAAGATGAAAATGACAGAAGCGAGCAAAAATTATACGATCGCGTCAAAATCTTGCGAATTTGCTCATTCTCTCTCTCTCTCTCTCTCTCTCTCTCTCTCTCTCTCTCTTTTTCTTGTTACATCTAGATCACAAGTTATTTCGTCCATTTGTTCAGAAAGAAAGAATATCATCATTTCGTCAAGTTTTATGACATACTCTTTTGTACGGAGACGAAAAGGAAGTGAAGTGAATAAAAAAGGAAGTGTGTTGTTAGTCTTTTTAAACTCGGAGAAGATACTGTGCTGTATTATCAAGAAATGATATATGTTTTATGTCTCTGTATGTCTGCGTATGATTATCTACTACTTGTCCAAATGTCCATATAAATACCGCGAGTGACACATGTCGAAAGCTCTGACAAACTCGAAGCAGTACCTGAACTCGTGAGTTGTGTTAGCTGCGCTAGGAATAATCAATTAAATAACAAAAGAAACGAAGAAAACGGTACGCGCGAACGCCCGAAGTCAATGTACAGTTGCACCATAGCTGTATGAAAAATTTATATCTACCATATTTTTCAAAACTAATTTTTTTCCAATTTCAAAAATTTCAAGCACATGAGCGGAAAGTATCAGCAGGTGTTACATCCAAAAGCCCGTAGTAATTTTATTTTTACTCATATTATTATTATTATTTTAACAATTGCACGGAAAATTATTTTATTAAGACGACAGAGAAACAGAAAGAAATATACTATCATTAGAAACAAACTGTCTGTGGTAAATATGTAAGTGAATTACATATGTTGGGTAAATGATGTATGCGAATTATATAATGACTCATGATGACTTTTTAAAATAGAACGTGGACGAAATCGCGAAATAGCTACTCAAAACGATACGCTAACAGTAATGTTATCACAGCAATGCGTTCGCAGATGTATTTAAAGCTTTACTAGATCTACACATTGATTGTCGTAAAAAAACAAAAAAATTTTATTTTAGTTTTAATTTAATTCAGTTTCAATTTATAATCTTTGCACGTACACGTTATTTTTTGTGTGAGATTTGCTTTTGTCTAGCTGATAATAGTAACTGTCTCTACCTGGTTTTTTAATTTTCTACTGCGCGCGCGCGATCGTGAAGTTCACAAAAATTTATCTTTTTACGGAGCAGACACGAATATGTTAGAGTTTTATCGTCAAAAATATTTCTAGATAGAGACACACTGACTATTATATACGATGCTTATCTCAGAGCGCGTATATTATTGAAATGTACTTTTGACGGTAAAATTTAAATATATTGCATCTTCAAAAAGTCTTTGTATATTACACTTTTGCAATTTTAATATAAATATAATCATACGTGACATTATATCATGTTATATTACATATTGTGTAACATGATAAAATGATTTTAATGTAATTTGTTAAATTGTACAAAATTAAAATATTAGAAGTAGAAATATTAGAAAGAGACTCTTTAGACTTATCGTTGCAAATATTGTCCAAATCTGTTGTTCAACATTTTGCATTAATGTACACAATATAGTATACAATAAGATATGACATATTGTATGTAGACGTGGTTTTGTCACCAAAATAAATTACAACACTGTTCAATAGCGGTCTTTCACGGATGATTAACAAGCGATAAGTTTTTGTAGCTTCACGATTACTCTAACGTTTTGCTCGTGCACGAGAGTAGATTGTTTCATTTCAGTGTTCGATTTGTATTTTATATGACCTTGTAAGACAATCATAATTTAACACATTTTTAGTTAGTTCATTTTTTGCGTCTGTACACAAGACATCACAAGAAATCACGTCGTTTACGCTCCTGGATACTCGCTGCAGCTACATTGAAATTGTCCAAGACTACATCATCAACGTGGTTTCAGCAAGTACCCAAGCTTCGATCCAAAAGTTCTATGTTGCAAGTTTTATTTTTTTACGCCTTTTATTTCATAATACTTCGCAATGTTTAATCGTAAGAAAACAAAAACAGTTTTATCATAAGACAGATACTTTAGCGCGTTGCTGAAAAGAGGAATATATTATATTTAAATGTAACTCCGCTATAATTGACGTGGTGCGTGTGATGTCGATTTCTCAGCGAATGAAAAACCTGTACATTTGTATGAAATATCTTATTTAAGGAAAAAAGTGTTCACGGTAACGATGATAAAAAATATGTGGTGACAATGAAAACAAAAAAAGAAGCTAATGCTGAGGAAAACTATCTAAAGACCTATCTAGAGGAGTAAATCACATGTGTTCCCAGCTTGTTCCTTTCACCTTCCTACTCATTAACATCAACTAACAAATCTAATGTTTAACGGACACGATTTTCTATATGTTGGTGAAAATAATCGAATATATGTCCCTTATATAAATAATTAGATATATTATAAAAAATGACAATTTTATACAAAGTTAATTTTTCAAAATCTATTTTATCACAAAATATTTAATGCAAATTTATATTTATTAAAAAAGTTAAATTATAAAATTATTACTATTAAAATTTAATATATAACAATTTTTTTTGACGATGATTTGAAACTTTTTTTTAAATTATTTTGACGACATTAGAACTTTTTTTTAAATCTCTGCTTTGCCGATGTCTATCTTCTTATTTTATTAATATCGAATTTTTCCCATCTGACTTGTGAAAATGTCTGTCTTTTATTTTATCAGATTATTTCTTCACCAAGTCATCATTTTCACGCGTGTATTACAAATCCGTTCCAGTTTGCATTACAAGACCAACTAACTACATACTTACGCGACCCACAAATACGCTGCAATTGATTTAACATTTAAGCAAAATTTTAACTGTTGTTGCGGCACGAATACATGCGATTTATTTCAGATAATCGAGAATATGTGCACAGATCGCGTGCTCTTTCTGTCGATGAAATTCGCAATGTATACATATAGTATATTCCATTTCGTTCCGAACGTTCTATCTCGATGTTTTATAATATATTGTCCAAAAAAAATATTAAGAAAAATGAGAGAGAAAAATAAATTAAATAAATTATCCTTAAATATTTATGTAAAGCCTTACACAAACAAAGTTTCGAATAAATCTGATTAGTAATTACACTTAGTTTTCGCTAATTGATCGTTGAATGCGCATCAATGTTTACAATATTGATACGTGAGATAATGTTTCTTCATCTTGACCTTACGTAAGATTTCGTATGTGTATATATTTTATTTCCACTACTATAGTATAGAAAAAACAAATTGATACTTGGCGAATCTGTGTGAAAGTGTTTGACTTACTTGACTCTCGTTCTAAGATTAATTAATTAATTTAATCGAACGGTTTAGTCCGCGCTGTATCTTATCCTTGTCGCCAGTGGTGTATATAGGAATATAGGAAGACTCAATACTCGATATATTGCGACACCTGATAGACGATGAGACTGACTACTTTTTGTAGGTGACAAACTCTGACTAATTGTAAGTATTTTTCTCGAAAAGAAGACGCCAGTTGAGATTTGATTTTACTCGATTTTGGACCTGAGCGACAGGTCCCGAGGACGGATTGTTCTCGTGAAAATCTGTGATTTGTATAGAACAGAGTAAATAAGAAATTGACAATTATCAGGGAATACAAAAAAAGAGAGAGAGAGAAAAGTGATATTGTAGTTTACTTTAAAATAGTATATTCGCTAAGTGCAACAGGAATGAGGTTGGAAGCAATAGAGAAATAGAACTACATATGATGGCATCCGCTGTGAAGACGGGCGTGAAATTTAACGTTGAATTTTGTAGTTTACGCAGAATCTTAATTATACAATGATTTGCGACAGAGATAAGAGGTACATATAACACTTGAATTGAATACAATTTTTGCACGAAGAGAAAGAAAAAACGCGCTCCTATGTAAATTGTGATGATTTCGCACTAATTAATGAAACATGTGTACCGAAAGATACAATAAAACTTACTGTTCGCTTAGAGAGTTCTTGACATTTCTTCAACGACGAGTGTTTATTAAATCATACATCTTGTATAGAAAAACAATAGAGTGCTTTACTGTAGAAATATTCATTTCAAAAAAGTAGTGTACCAAGAAAAAACAAATTTTTATTTAATATAATCCGATATACAAAATACATATCTTGTCTTATCTAGTTTTTTAATTTAGCGAGGAGAACGTAATGCATGTTTTTGTATGTAAAACAAAAAAAAAGAGAAAATCGAAAAAATTTATTTTCCTCATGAAAATTTGTCTACATGTATAAATAATCGAAAAAAGTATGTATATGTAAATATATTTAAGTATGCATTTTGCAAAACTTCCATCGAAGAATTCGAGCGACCACAGTTATGCCCTTCAATAGGCAGCTCGCATTTAAAAACAAGCAAAGTGCCCAATGATGAGCCGCAACATAGTCGCTCTATATGACATCGTCTCGATATGTTCTATACACTGTAAGTACTTAAAAAAAAATCACTAATTGCACGGCAGCTTGTTTCGTGTTAATTATTCTTACACAGACTTATTTTAACTTGCAATTAATGTCAATGCTAGTCGCACGGTATTTTCGCGCGTCATACATACCGATTACACGTTTTTCATCTGCTCTTTGTCGTAAATACGCCACACTTCGAAATAGAAATTACATGTTTCGTGTAAATTTATAATATCTTTTAACGCGCGCAATCGTTCGGACGAGAGTTCGCTCCGAGGAGAAATGCGCGAGAAACGTTCGGAGGAGACGCACTTACAAGACTGACTTATAGCAAATTCGACTACGGATCTTTATAACGGCGTGATTCGGTTCCACCCACAGGATGCTGCGGCCTAGAGATTAGCCGACGAACTCTCATATATAAAGGAAACAGGAAGGGGCGGATAGACCGAGATACTATCTTCGTGAGTTTATCCTTAAAAAAAACGCGTCGTTCTTGTCTGCGTTGCTAAATAATTAAAACGCGTGTGTGAATATTATAATTAATGTGTTAATTAATCCGAACGCGCTGCGAGTATATTGCAAATTATACAGAACATAAGTTTTAATATAATTCTCAGTTATTTTTTTTCATGAAAAGAATCTTTTTGCTACAAAACAATATAAATATGACATCGACTGTTTAAAAAACGTTTTTATGTGTCTTTTTTTTATGTTGAAAACAAATTAAGTTAAACGCACGCGACCTGAATTAATTTATCTAGCCTTGATAGAATTTCTGATTTCGCGGCAAGAAACACAAGAATGGCGATAAACCATGCCTTCACGCAACCACAAACCTATTTCCAACTTGCTGATAAATGGAAATTCTTATCGCACTCGTCATTCGTTACATTTCAGTTTGTTTTCTACCACAAAGGCTCGGAACTTAAAACTTGATTAACTTCATGATATTTTTCCAAATTAAATGTTAAACTTTTAAGTTTTTGAATTTTAATTAAATAATTCTAATTATTAAAAAAATTTTGTTTCTTCTACGTTACTGATTTAATTTGCATTTGAACGCTCAGAGCTGAACAAAACTCGTCTTCTTAGAACTTCATCGATTACAAATATGCGTTTGAGAAATTGCAACAAAATTTGTTGCCGAAAAACGTCGACTTCAGATTTGACTTGACGAGAATGTGAATGTTAATTGCTTACACCAATCGAATCTATTATACAATTGATCTGAGACGCCGTGTGAACAGGCCGAAGGCTTGTGTCTTCGCCACAGAACGCGTTGAATTTATATCATTATAATTTCTGATTAGAGCGATAGGGGTCAGATGTACACGCGCGCGCGCGCGCACACACACTCACATTCGCGAACAGAAGAAAGTGCGAGAGAGAAAGAGAGAAAGAGAAACCGCGGTCGAATCGCATTGTTGAGATGACTCATCGTGAGCTCGCGCGTTTTGGTTTATTTTCCTCTCGCGACCGAATCAAACCGACCGTCCTCCTCCCGCGATGCCGTGTCGTTGTCGACTTGAGGTCAAGTTTTTTTTTTTTCATTTCAATACTCGTTCGTTTTTACGCAACCGCCGCGATCCGATAAAAACGCACAGCTCTCTCTCTTCACCGATTTCATTTTCATTCACGCGCGCCGATCATGTGCGCGATATACATACTTCACGTTTAAATATTTTTTTCATGAGAAGAGGACATATTTTTTAAGAGGGTGTGTATAAACTCTACTCGAATATTTGTTGTTATTTTTGTCGTTTACAAAGCGATTGTTTAAAAATTGACTTAGTAGCGTTTTGCATTTGCAACAACAAACGATATTTCTCTCATATAAGTACACACTTACGTCGTGAAAACAAAAACTAAATTCCACGAGTCCGCAGGAAGTTCAAAACTCATATACAAATTAAATTGCAAGTGGCCGTGCAATATAATTCCAATTTGTATATTCCAGCGTAATATGCACGTGGAGTGTTCGTGGAGCGCACATTCCGCTCGAGGAAAATATTCGTTTCCGTCTCCGGGACGCGATATTTTTTGATATTTTTATTTTCAATAACGATAATAACGCGCGGTATCGCGGTTAAACCGCGCGAGTGCACCGCGTTTTTCCGGTGTGTTCACACGCACAACAAACCGATGACAACACAAACGTTTTACGCAACCGCCACACACGACATCCCGGGGACAACTGGATTTAACAGGAACAACAGCGCATGAACGAAAGGAAACCGTCGCTACTGAAGGTTAGAGAGGAAAGAGCGAAAGAGAGCGAAAAAAGATGGAGAGGAGGGGGTAGGCACATGTGTCCGTCCGTAGACAACACAGAAACTCACGAGGACCCTCGGAAAAGGCTTTGCATAAATTCTCACTGTGACTCTTACACTGTGTGTCATAAACATCACACGTGAGATCTCTCACGCATGTTTATGATATTTATATCGGATAATTGTTTTATCGATTATTTTTTTAAATTATTAATTTTTATCACTTTTTTCTCGTATAGATGATTTCCAAAATGTGAGAACTGAAGATAAAGATAAATATTTTTTTACTTATTTATTGCATGAAAATACTTGACGAACGTACTATTCGATTTTCAAATAATTCCGATGTTCGTCGTTGCTTCTTGAAAGAAGAATAAAACGAGAAAGAAATGATAAAAAGATCGGAATTGGAATGTGGAATTGATTCCGGGAAGTTTCACAATACAGACGAAATAGAAATTTCGCTTTGCGAACGAAAATAAGACCGGGGTCAAAGAGTACTGTCCTGTGTCACGAGGGGGACATGATAAAATTTGCATTTCCTGTGCGCGATGAATAATTCCAACACGGCGAGATCGGACCGTGTGCGTTGGTCGCGCACGCTTTCGAATTAGGCCCCCGGCCGGCGCGGCGTGTGCATTCGAAATCGGAGCCGAAACGCGTCGATTCGTCCGTTTAGAGTCGGCCCGTGGTCGACTTCATCGAGAAAGAATTCTTCTCAGAAAACTCGTTTGTATGCAGTTTTTTTTTTTTTTTTTTGCACGCATAAATTTTAACAAAGATAAGAAATAACGTAATGAGTATTTTTATTTTTTGAAGTGACTTTCGAGAGAAATTCAAACAAATATTTCACCGAATACGAGAACGTAACAAAACGAGTCGAAGTTAAACGTCGTTCGTGGAACTCTTTGTAGAAGAAAATTCCGAAGCCGAAGGTCCCCGTGGCGTGTGATGGCTAGGTTTTCGGGGTGAAGAGGCAAAAAAAAGATAAAGAGAACTGGAGAAGGAGGAAGGGAAAAGAGAGAGCATTATATACATGTATGTAGGAACAGCTGTTCGTCGACGAGGGCCCGGTCCTCGGCTGCGCGCACCTACACAGGAGGAGTCCTTTACACAGCGGGCCCTTTCACGGAGCGTCTCTCTCTCAGGTACGTACGTGCAACACGTGTTGCGTCCGCGTTTCATCCGGGGAACCGTTTCCGATGACTCATACGGAGTACGTACAATATGCGATATGCTTTTTACACACAAGACTGTAGACGGAGAGCGCCAAGTCGTCGGAGACTACACACAGGGTGACGCATTTATATCTCAGATTCTTTCGTTTTTCCGTTTAACCTTGATACAGTAAGTTTGTTTTATTTTTTCGATTTATACTTGAAGTTTTAAGTAAGAAAATTTAAATTTATATAAAACATTCTATGATATATTCTATGAACAACTTGTTTTATTCCGGTTTGTTGTGTTATTTTATTATTGATGAAAAATTGTGTTATTGTTTATTATAGTTACTTTTTATTATTATATTATTGCTATTGATTTATTATTTTTATATATTTTTTATTCTTTTATTGATTGTTTTGTTATTGATTGTTTTATTATTGTTGTCGATTATTCTTATTTTTATTATTGATAAAAAAATTATTTTTATTATTGATAAAAAAAGTTTAGTACTTTTTTTACGTAATTCGCATAAAATAACTGAAAAATATTTTTATAAATTTCATTTGTGTTTTAAGTTTCCGTTTAAAATGTGTTTGTCTTAATCGTACGAGGAAAACCTGGCAGGCCGGTTGTATCTTCGCTTGTATCTCCGAAACCTCCAGGGATGACCGTTTGTAATCGGTCGAGATGAAACGCGAGAAGCCGTGAATGAACGGGGCACACTTGTGCGTTCCAGGACAAAAAATTACGCAGCATCTGTGTGGAATCGTGAAAGAGAGATGAGACGATCTCTCGGTAAAAACTGTTTGTACACCCCGTTTACTCGTGGGAGCAAGATTCACACATACCTTTGTGTATGTCTGTGTGTGTCAACGTTTTGTCTTCCTGTAGTAATACACGCTTTCTCACGACGAATTTTCTTCGCTGCCAATATGTGCGCTTCGGTTTTTCAGAACGAAGAGAAACGAAACACAATGTAATTAAAAAATAAACTTCATATATTTTTTTGTATGAATAACAATTGGTACAAGCGACAAATAACCATGCAAACAACAATAAACGTGTACTTTTAACGATTTTTTTATCCTGCGCGCAGAAAATTCGAGAATCTTCATGATGTACTTCAATATATGCGTACAATATATTGCACAGAAAATCATAATATTAAAAACGACATAGCGACATGAATGTTTAAAATACTATATTTTATCACTCTGATATAATCGAATAATCGCGATCATCAATCAATATTCGATAGTGATCGTTTTCGTCTTCAGATACTCGTTGAGTGCCTCTTGTCCCAAATCCTTGCCGAATCCCGACATCTTGAAGCCGCCGAAAGGAGCCGCCACGTCCGTCTTGTTGTACGTGTTGATGAACACCGTACCGGCTTCGATTTTTTCCGCGAACCTCAGCGCTCGGCCGATATCCTTGGTGAGAATTCCCGAGGCCAGACCGAACTCCGTGTTGTTCGCCCGTGCAATCATCTCGTCCGTGTTTTTCGAACTGAACTTGGAGATGACCATGACGGGGCCGAAGGATTCCTCTTTGGCGATGTACATGTTGTCGGTCACGTCCGTGAACACCGTGGGCTCGAAGTACCAACCCGGACGGTTCAATCTCTTGCCGCCGTAGACTAGCCGTGCACCCTCCTCAATTCCTTTCTGTACGTATTCCAAGAGCTTGTCCAAATGGGCCTTGTGATTCTGCGGTCCGTGAGCCGTGCTTCTCTCTAACGGGTTGCCGATGGTGATTTTCTTCACCTCGTCCACCACGCGTCTCACAAACTCGTCGTGAATTGTTTCCTCCACGAAAAGTCGTCCTGATAAAGAATAAAAAATATTAATTATTTATGAGAAAAGTTAAACCGCTCATAATAAACAAAACAAAATAAAAATAGATACCTATATAAAAAAATTAAATAGAAGGTAAATAGATATGTAAAATAAAAGTAAGTTAAAGTAAACAGATTAATATAAAAAGTTTACCGGCAGCGATGCAGTTCTCTCCTTTGTTGAAGAATACGCTACCCATGCCGATTCTGACCGCTTGCTGCAGATCGACGTCCTCGAAGATGACGAGAGGACTTTTACCGCCGAGCTCCAACGATACCTTTTTAAGATTGCTGTCGGCGCAGCATCTCATGATCGACTGACCGACCTGCGTTGAACCGGTGAACCCAAGCTTCCTGATGAACGGGTGTCCTACTATGGCGTTGCCAACAGAGGTGCCAAATCCACAGACGATGTTAATGACACCCGATGGAATACCGGCGCGCGCAGAAAGCTCGGCAAACTTGAGAGCGGTCAGAGGTGAGGCTTGAGCGGGTTTCATTACTACGGTGTTTCCGGCCGCCAAACACGCCGCCATCTTCCACGACAGCATCATCAGGGGGTAGTTCCAGGGCGTGACCAGGCCGCAGACGCCAATCGGTTCGCGTCGTGTGAAGGTCAGGTTTCGATTCGGACGCGCGTGCGAGATGGGTATGGTCGAGCCTTGGATCTTGTCGCACCAACCGGCGAAATATCGCCAGGTCTCTATAGACATGCCTATATGGGTTTTCAGAGCGAGGGTGTAGACCGCTCCGGAATCGAGACTCTCCAGAGTGGCCAGTTCCTCTTTGTGCTGCTCCATCAAATCCGCTAATCTAAAAAATGAAGAACGAAAGGATTTTAATGGTCTAATGAAGTATAACAATTGCATAAGTAAAAAAAAAGATCGTGTCTTACTTGAACAACAACGCGCCACGTTCTCTGGCGCTGATCTTGCCCCACTCGCCTTCCTCGAATGCTTTCTTAGCGGCTCTGACGGCTTTATCAACATCCTCAGCAGTCGCGCTCTCCACGGTACAGATGACACTCTCGTCGTGAGGATTTATAGTGTCGAGAGGCTTGCCGTGTCCGTTGACAAACTGACCGTCGATGAAGAGCTGCCTAGGGAATCTCAGAGTCATGTTGTTGGCCTGTACTTCCACTGAGTCATACACGATCTCCTTCGAAGCTAGATTTCCTCGAGTGGCAAGAACAACGGTCGTGATGAACTCGATGAAAACTGGTGCCATGAAGACGTCGATGTTTTGTAGACTTACGCCAAAGTTGTCTTTGACTTCCTCGACTAATCGCACTACGTCCATGCTGCCCGCGCCGGAAGCGAAAAAATCCGTTTCGTAATCAACATCTAGTTTGAGTATATCAGACCAGATTTGACGCAGACCTTCAACGATCTTTTCTTCCTCTTGCGTGAATTCCACGGTCTCATTGCCGCCGATTTGACCGTATTTGCTGGCGTGAATAGTCTTGTTGCCGATCTTGAGCCTTTCTACGTTCACGAATCGTCCGTCGACAGCCTCTATTAGCAGACCGTTCTGATGAATAATTCCCTTTCGCCCTGCGAGATCCACTTCTCTTTCGGCTTCTGGTAACTTGTTATCGCTCCACAAGGACGAGCCGAAGAGACGCACCTCTTCCTCTTTGTCCAACGGCGTCCAAGCTCCAGGTGTGCTGTCCAAACCACGGATAAAGTTGTGAATCTCCTTTGCTGATTTTGACCAGTCGATCTTCTGAAGTTCTTTCTTGTTCAACATCGGATCGTAAGTCGCACCTTTCTCGGGTTGCGGTATTTTGGGCGCGATTCCTTTGGCTATCATGTCCACGGCTTCGCTTATACCTTTGATACCGTCCGGATACAGGAAGTTGTTATACAGATTGTCCACAGTGTCATTAGGTTCCACTTTGCAGGATCGCTGGAGAAGAATAGGTCCGGTGTCCAAGCCCTCGTCTGCCCAAAAGATCGAATATCCAGCGATGTCATCTCCTTCGATCAGCGTCCTGAAACAATCAGCAGCTGCGTCTAGTGAAAAGAGTTGGTAAATTTTTATTTAATTTATAAAAAAAGAATTTTATTATAAAAAAATCATTTTATTTATTATATTCATTGACGCTGAAAAAAGTTTGTTTTTTTAAAAATCAAATAAATATATTTTCTTGAAACTCTCTCTCTCTCTCTCTAAATTGTTTATTTAAAAATATTTAATTGTTTATTGTTTATTTAATTGTTTATTTAAAAATATTTAATTTTAAACAATGTGGTAGACTAAAGGATGACTTCCGGTTCTTGTTGGTAAATTTAAAATTTTTATAAACAGCAATTGAAAAATCAAAGCAAGGTGTTTTGCAATAATAAAAACTACTATAGAATTAATTGTGTGTCAAAACGTTTCGATCTTTATCGAAGTTCTCTTTAGTTGAACTATAAACGAGATGAGTAATAGTAATGAATGAGAGCGGTGATCTGTATATATGTATACGTAAGTTGGTTTGATAAGTTTGGTAAATTTCAATGATACGATGCCAACACAATTCATTTCATTATGTGATGCACGGAGTCAAATCCGGAGAATAGGATGGATGAAGAATCAATTGGAAGTTTAATTTGTGTAATTTTGCCATTTTCTTCCATTTTCGTCGTTTTTTTCTATTTTTACGGACTGCTAAATTACTCGCTTCAAACGATTACCGAACAACGCATCACTTCTGACTAAAATTTAGTCTAAAAAGGTTTGAGGAATTAAACTTTCCAGACGTCATATAATTAAATGAATTGTGGCACCATATAATAGAAATTTACCAAACTTATCAAACCACCCACGTAGATTTAAAAAAATAATTATCATAATAACCGGCAAAATAAAAAATATACTTTAAATATTTAATTTTAAGGTGCATTAAGTACAATAATTTATCTATACATTTTCTCTACGTTTAATTACTGTCTTCATAAAAAAATATACTATCATTTATTGATTGAAGTATATTGTTTTTTAAAACTAAAAATTTCAATTTTTTTTCTAACTAAAAAAATGCAAAAATATATTCAATATTTTATAAGA